TGTTGTTCAGTCACTAAGTTGTGTGCGACCCTTTGTGACCCCATGGACTGCAGCACGCCAGGCTTCCCAGTCCTTCAGCATCTCCTGTTGTTTGCTCAAACTCACATCCATTGAATCGACAATGCCAACAGCCTACCGTAGAAGCAAACCTGTGTCCATTGTCAGATGAATGAATAAGGAAAATGTGGTCTCCATACAGTGGAATATATTATTCAGCCATAAAAAGGAAGGACATTCTATGAAAGAAGCCAAACACCAACAGTACATTATGTGACTAGTTGTATCAAGTATAAAAAGAGGCAAAAATAATGGATAAATTTGGGAATTGGCTGGTGTTCACTTTGGGGATGGTAGTGACTGAAAGGTCTTATATGTTCTTAAATTTCTATTCCTTGATCCAATTACCATTTCTGAAAATCCACCGAGCCAGATGCAAGGGAAAATGTGATTTTCTTTATGTACATTACACGTTGCAAACATTTACTTACAAGGAAAAACATACATTATAGGGACATTAAAAAAAAAAAAAGGGAAGGCGATTCTGACACCTGCTACAAGGTGGATGAACCTGTGAATATTATGCTCAGTAAATAAGCCAGAGACGAAACGGCAAGCCCTGCACGATTCCACACAGATCACGTTCCAGGAGTCGTCAGGACGACAGACGGGGCTGAGGCAGGGGACGGGGAGCTGTTGCCGGAAAGGCTGAGTTTCAGATTCAGAAGACGCAAAGGTTCTGGAGTGGATGACGGTTGCTCGACCACGTGAGTGTACTGAATCCAGAGCTGTCACTGAGAACTGGCTAAGATGGCATATAATAAAACCTCACAGCTGTTCTCACCAAGAGTCAGTTAATTTTCTTGATTGAAAAACAAAAAACAACTCTCCAAAGACTGCTGCAAGCCTTTGGTTGATTTCCAGGGTCTGAGGAGGTTAGTTTGGACCATTTGGCCCGTTTTCTCGTTGCTCCCACGACACGGAGCGTTTTCCGAGGCCCTCGCTCTGCCTCTCTTGCCGCGGTCCTGGCATTCTAACCAGGGTGAAGACACACGGCAAAGTCTGCTGCACAGACAGGCCTGTGTTCAGGGGCCGGGCTGCTGCACAAGGAGAGAAAGTCCGTGTTTCCAGCCAGACGGAGGCGGAGGTCCCCTGGGGCCTGCGGGCAGCCGCGGGGCCTCCCCGGGGAAGGTGAGGCCTCCTGCAAGGCACACTCGTTCACAGGGGTGACACCCCCAGAGGCTGAGCAGTGGCAAGGCCCCCCCCGCCGGGCCTCCCTGCAGGAACGAGGGGAGCCAGCTGCTCTCAGGGGCTCAGCTTGCCCAGCACCCATTCCAGCGCCCCCCTGGGTCAATAGAGGCCATGAAGTTATACCCTGGACCCAGCGCTCCCTGACCTGGCGCAGGCCCAGAAGTGCTGAGAATTCTGCACTCAGGATGAGTAGATGGGGGCGGTCCTGGGGGAGGCAGTGGCTAGCTGCAGGACTCCCGAGGCGAATCCCTGCATGCTGGGCGGACTGACCTCTGTGCAGGAGCCCTGGCTATAACCCAGGCGGGGGCCTTGTCAGGAGGAGTTGCCTAAGCAGAGGGAGCCGCAGTGCAAATGCCCTGGGGTCCTGGGGGGCGAATGCTGGGACAGGAGAGCGTTGAGGGGCCCCTGGGAGTGCTCAGCCTCAGGCGCAAAGCCCGTGTGGCCTCTGGCTGTGGCCTTTGGCAGGAATGCAGCCCTTGGTCAACGTCTGGTGAGTTGGCCACTCAGCAAACAAACGTGCCCCTGTCAGCTGGCCAGCTCCTGGGAGACTCCACGCCGCGCCTGTGCGCTCCCGAGGAGACAGGCAGCCCCGCGGACACCCGACCGAGCCAGCCTGGTGGCCTGTCCATCCCCAGGGCCCTGCCTGAAGGAGCCCTTGTTACCCTGGCCCCTCAGACCCCCTGGGTTCCGGGCCGTGGCAGGGCCCAGCCCGGGCACAGACATGACCGTGTCCCTGTGTGCCTGGCCCACCCTTGGCAGCTCACACTCCTGAGAACTGCAAGCCCCACTGGGGGCAGCACAGACTCGGCCCCAAGTCCACCGTGAGCAGCACTTGGGTGGGAGACACCTCCTAAAACCAGGGCGGCTGGGAGGACGGGCCGTCAGCGGCTCATCCTGTGCTGAGCACCATGTGAGCTACAGCGGTGCTGGGGTGGGGGTCTGGGGTCGGGGTGCCCGCTGTGGGAAGGGGGTGCAGACAGGCATGGGGATCGGGGCACAGACAGTGCTCTGCCGCTGGGGTGGGGGTGGGGCGGTCAGGGAGCCTGGGGTCTGCAGAGGCCTGGCCACAGCACAGCCCCAAGCTTCGGCCCCCCAAAGTCACCCCAGGAGTGACTGACGACATGGACTGACTTCCAGGAGTGGACCCTGGTCTCAGCATCCACCAAGAACCAAGCAGTCACAGGACAACGCAGTGCTCCTGGCCCCCTGCCCCGGCTGATGGCCACCGTCACTCCTGTGATCCTGATGCTGAGACCCAGGGGGAGGAGAGGCTGGTGGGGGGATGCCGAGACCCAGCGGGGACTGGGCACATGCTGATGGGCAGATGACTGGCGGGGTGGGCGGAGCTGTGTGCTGAGGGACCTGTGCCTGTGGCGCTGCCAAGTGCTTCCCAGGCCTGACCCCAGGGGAAGTCGCAGGAGGAGCCTGAGGGTCAGAGTGTCTGCCGTGCACCCGGGACCCACAGGGTCAGCTGGGCCCCTCAGAACAGGGCCGAGGACTGGCCCTCCCATGCCCTGCTGTGTCCCAGGACCCCAGGTGATCTTGGGTTCTCTCCACCGCCGAAGGAAAGAGCTCCCTGCTCACCCTCCCTTGGGCCTTCCTGGGGGAGCCCTGAGCAAACAGGCTCCAGACTTCAGTCCCCGCTGGCCGCCCATCGAGGCGGGGGGCGGGGGGCGGGGGGCCTGGGGCACTTGGAGGGCGGGAGCACTCTGTTGTCCCGTGACTGCTCAGTTCTTTGGCGGACACTGAGACCAGGCTCCACTCCTGTAAGTCAGAGGCCGCCCCAGGGGGCAGAGCCTGTCTGTGTGGACAGGGGGCTAGGAGAGGAGCCTCCTGCAAAGGGGGGCAAGCCCCTGGACTCGCAGCCCTGGGCGGCAGCAGGCCGGGGCTGCCTGAGTGTGTCCTCACTTCCCGCATGAGACGGCCTGGCGCCCCGGCCGCCTCCTTCCTCAAACCCGAGCCAGCCACCTCCCCGAAGGCATGGAGTGAACAGAGACAACTCTGCCATTCTGCTGGAGTTTGGAAGGGTGGGGGACGTCCCATGCGCGGGACCAGCTGCGTCCATACGCGGCCGGCCTTTCTGCGAAGACATCAACCAGCACAACACACCCCACGGACAGGCTCGGTCTCCCAGGGAGCCCAGCAAAAAAACATCTGTATGTCCAGCGGTTTTCTTTTTGAAAAGGAGTTGTTTTCATAAAGCACTGCTATGTTAACATGCAATAGGTTCATTTTTCAGTGAGTTAGTAAATCTTTTGAGCTCTTCCTCTCAAACACTTTGAGCATCTCAAACACGGTAAGCTCGATGGATGTCACCGTGGGAGGGGGTGTGTCTCGGTGACTTTTCAGAGTGTAAGTGGTCCCCAGGCTGAGGGGGTCGCAGGCCACTGCCCTGGGTGCTGTCGAGGTCTGAGGATATGTGGTCTGAAGGTCAGGTTCACAGCTGCTCCCGTGGTGGGGTCGTTTACTTGAAATACAGGTTAGATTATCTGTTTTTGTTTGTGTTCTATTCTTGTTGATTCTGTTTTTCTCTCTCTTTTTTTGGAGTATGTAAAACATTAACGTGGTTTCAAAAATCAGAACGTTTTCTTTTGAGCTGTGAAGCTTGCTGGGCGCTTCCTAAGAGCGAGACCCCCCACTGCCCTCCGGTTCGCCCCCGTGACGAGGGCTCTGGAAACGTCTTCCTGACACTGAGCAGACAAACTCCAGGACCTGCTGGCAGTTCCCTCCCGCTGGGCATGCTGGGAGTCCTAGCCTCTGGGGGAAAGTGGGGGCCCCGGGGTCGCCTCCCGGCCCCTAGGGAAGGGCGGCCGTGTGGCTCGCTGCCTCCGGAGGGATGGCGTCCAGAGGCCCGGCCGTTCCGTGCACAGGACTGAGCCCGGGGCCCCCCCGCCCAGCAGTGTCCCCAGTGCTGGGCCTGACGTCAGGCCTGACCCCGGCCCCCCACGTCCCATCCTGTCCCGAGGGCAGCACACGCCAGTGGCCCTGGCCCAGCCCTCCTCCAGCGCTGGCTTTGGCAGGCTGCCCCCCTCCACCCCCGGCCGCGGGGACACACCAGGGAAGGCCTGATGGGAACCGGGGCGGGGGGGGGGGGGCGGCGGGAAGACAAAGGAAGGGGTGCGGCGGGGGCGGGAGCCAGGGGAGGAGTGAGTTCAGCGCTGGAGCAGCATCTGCTCCGCGTCAGAGCCGGCGGGCGGCCAGGCCAGCACGGAGGTCCGGCTCTCTCCCCGCGTCCCATCTGCCGCGGTGCAGGGCCTGGGGCCTCATTGGCCGGCTGGGGGCCGTCTGTGGCATAAATTGGAGCCCTGGGCCCTTGCTGGGACTTCAGCTGTCTGCAGCTCAGCGCCAGCCGTCCTGCCTCCTGCTGGGTGAGTATGCATGTCCTCCCGGCCCCCCGGCCCCCAGGGCTGCCTGGTGCTGCCCCCCAGAAACCAGCAGTAACCCCCCCCCCCGAGGGAAGCCCCTCCACTGAGGCCGGGTCAGCGACCCTCCCATCTCTGGGGTTCCCTGGGGCGGCAGCGCCAGAGGCGCGGCACTGGGGAAAGCCCCAGGGCACTGAGCCGGCCACAAGCCCCGGGGCAGGCTTGACCTGCCAGCACTCTGGGCTGCTGTAACCCGACACAGCCTGGGACTCCAGCCGTGGGGTCTGGCCCGGCCCAAGTCAGAGAGGGAACTCCGAGGGAGGTGCCTGGCGTCCTGGGGGCCCCACGCCGGGGACCGGGGGAACAGCACGTGCCCCCTTCTCGTAGGTGATGGGAGCCCCACGTCTGGCCTTCCCCTGGGCGGCCACCCTCTGGGCCCTCCTCCTGGCCTCGCTGGGCGGCGTGGCTGGCCAGCCGCTGGGGGCAGAGCCCATGTGCACGGCCCAGCCGCTGGCCAGGTACAGCATCACCTTCACGGGCAAGTGGAGCCAGGCGTCCTTCCCCAAGCAGTACCCGTTGTTCCGCCCTCCCGCGCAGTGGTCGTCCCTGCTGGGTGAGTGCAGCCCCTGCCCTGTCCCTGGGGCGCCCCGTGGGGACCAGAGGGGCTGGTTACCCAGCAGAGGCTCCGCACCCCTCACTTCAGTGCAAGAGATATTTGCTAAGGTCTTTCGTGCACCGCAGCTGTGTCCAGCCTCAGGACCGTGGGGGGGCAGGGTCACACAGCAAGGTGCCGGGGTGGGGGGCGGATGGCGTCCCTGGGGTGCTCCTCACTCAGGCAGGTGGTGCCCGTCCCTCCCACCCGGGGTGCTGGGTTGAGGGTCCAGGCGGCGTCCCCAGGGTGGCGCTCACCCAGGCTGGCGGCGGCACACCTCAGGGGCAGCACACAGCTCGGACTACAGCCTGTGGCGAAAGGACCAGTACGTGAGCAACGGGCTGCGGGAGTTCGCGGAGAGGGGCGAGGCCTGGGCGCTGATGCGGGAGATGGAGGCGGCGGGCGAGCGGCTGCAGAGCGTGCACGGCGTGTTCTCCGCCCCCGCCGTGCCCAGCGGCACCGGGCAGACGTCCGGCGAGCTCGAGGCCCACTCCAGGCACTCGCTGGTGAGGGGGCAGTGGGGCCGGCGGGCGGGCGGGCGGGCGGCTCGGGGGCCCCTGCTGAGCACTCGGCCCCCAGGTGTCCTTCGTGGTCCGCATCGTGCCCAGCCCCGACTGGTTCGTGGGCGTCGACAGCCTGGACCTGTGTGACGGCGGCCACTGGCGGGAGCAGGTGGCCGTGGACCTGTACCCCTACGATGCCGGGACCGACAGCGGCTTCACTTTCTCGTCCCCCAATTTCGCCACTGTCCCGCAGGACACGGTGACAGAGGTGAGGGCCGGCGGCTCTCTGGACCCTGGGAGGGTCCCGGGGAGGCCCATGGAAGCCCGCAGCAGGGGGCCGGCGCCTTGGTGCGCCCCAGGTTCGGACTCGCCCCCTCCCCTGCAGATCACGGCCTCCTCTCCCAGCCACCCCGCCAACTCCTTCTACTACCCGCGGCTGAAGGCCCTGCCCCCCATCGCCAGAGTGACTCTGGTGCGGCTCCGGCAGAGCCCCAGGGCCTTCGTCCCACCCGCCCTGGGCCTGGGGGCCGGGGGCAACGAGATCATGGACAGCCTTCCAGGTGAGCGTGGTTCCCACCCCACCCTTCACACATGTGACCCCACTGCCAGGTGCTGGCGCTCCCAGCAGACAGGAGCGGCTCTCTGGTGTGGGCATCATTCCGGCGGATGCTCGGACACCACCTGATCCTGGGCCTCCAGCTCTGGCCTCTCACCCTTAGAGACCCTTGAAAATCAGTGTCTGCCCCGCAGACTGACCCCAGGGGGAATGCCTGTGATGTGACAGCCGCCAAGGTCACCAAGGCGCCCCGGCTCCACGTGCACCCCCCAGGGGCACCCCCCACCCCAGGGCCCGCCGGGATCAGCCCCACTGCCAGACTCGAGTACTGATCACCAGGCCACACAGCCTGGAGAGGTGATCCGTCCATTCTGAGCCAGGCTGCTGGGGGACCACGTGGGGCGGGAGGACAGGTTACACCGGGAAGGGCCTCTGGCGCTCAGACGCCCAAGCCCAGGCCCTGGGGTTACGTGCCTTCAGAGGGGGCTTGGAGAGGAGCGCTGGGCCCCGGACGCAGGCTGGTGCGCTCAGCCCCAAGCTGGGGAGCAGGCCCGCGCAGCGCTTCCAGTTGAAAGCCTCAGGCTTCTACTGCCCAGAAGGGAGTGGTGAGATGTCGCAGTGCCCGCCCCGTGTCCCTGCTGACTGAGGACGAGCCCAGGGGGCCCCTCTGGTCTTCCCGGCGCCGGACGCTGGGGTCGGCGCCGCGGAGAAGGGGCGGGCGTGGGGCTGCGCGCGCTGGGCGGGTCGGCTTCCCCAGGGGTGGGCGCCCGAAAAGCAGAGCGGGCGGTGGAGAACCCGCGTGTCTGTGATAGTCAGGGCGCGGTTCCCCGCCCCTCCTCCTGCCTGCGCGGGTGGAGGGTCTCAGGACGGAAACCCGGTGGCTTTTAGGGGGCCTGCGTGCTGGCGGCGCCCTGGGGCTCGCTCCCCAGCGCCCTGAGGGAAGCACCGGCGTCCTCCCCGCCTGCGGCTCCGCCCCCTCACCGCCCCCCTGTCGCCCCCAGACCCCGAGACGCCACTGGACTGCGAGGTCTCCCTGTGGTCGTCCTGGGGGCTGTGCGCCGGCCCCTGCGGGCGGCTGGGGGCCAAGAGCAGGACGCGCTACGTCCGCGTGCGGCCAGCCAACCACGGGGCGCCCTGCCCGCCGCTGGAGGAGGAGGCCCCGTGCGACCCCGACAACTGCGTCTGACACCCGCGCCCGCCCGCGCCCGCGCCCGCGCAGAGACTGGCCCCCAGCCCGGCTGCGAAATACCTCAGACCTGGGGCCCCGGGTCACCGGCCTCGTCAGGGTCCCATCCCAGCTCCAGAATAAAGACCAGTGTCTCCCACACCACAGCCGTGGCCTCGTGTGTCCCCGGCGGAGTGGGGCGGGCAGGCGGGGCGCACGCGCCACCGGGCTTTTCCCCAGGAGCAGGTGTCACCCTGCGGGGATGAGCCGGGGACCACCACGCACACAGGCGCGCACACACTGCACACACATCGCACATACACACAGGTTACACACATACACGCCACACACACACAGGGCACACACACACACGCTACACACGGCACACACACCGCACATACGCACAGGTTACACACATACACGCCACACACACACAGGGCACACACACACACGCTACACACGGCACACACATATACATGCCACACACGGCACGCACAGCACACATACACGCAGGTTACACACATACACGCCACACATGCCACACACACACAGGACACACACTGCACACATACATGCAGGTTATACACGCACACCACAAACACACAGGACACATGCTGTACACTCACCATACAGAGGGCATACACACAGCACACAAACACGCAGGTCACACACACACACGGGACACACACATACATCCACACATAGCACTGACACAGGACACAGCACACACACGGGACACACACAGCACATACAACCACACACACACACACACACACACGGGGAGCTTGAAGGACCAGCAGCATGAGACCTGCTGCACCCCAGGCCTCTGACCATTGAGGCCCCTGAACTTGCAGTGGAACCCTGAGGCCTTACTGTTGACCAGCCCCAGCTGAGATCAAGCCCTACCCTGATACCTGCTGACCCCTGGCCCCTGCCCTCACCCCCTCTGACCTGTGACCCCCAGGTCCTGCCCTCACCCCCTCTGACCTGTGACCCCAAGCCCTGCCCTCACCCCCTCTGACCTGTGACCCCCAGGCCCTGCCCTCACACCCTCTGACCCCAGGCCCTGCCCTCACACCCTCTGACCTGTGACCCCCAGGCCCCACCCTCACACCCTCTGACCTGTGACCCCCCAGGCCCCGCCCCCACACCCCTGATCTGTGACACCCAGGCCCTGCCCTCACACCCTTTGACCCCAGGCCCTGCCCACACACCCTCTGATCCATCTCCTCTGGTGGCAGCGTCTCTCCTCTCTGACGCCTCTTCCCATGAGCTCAACCTCGGACCTCCTCACCATCCTCTCCGCAACAGATTTCTGTCCCTAATGGTCACCCGTGATCTCTGGGACGAAGGAGTGAAAGCAGCCGCCTGTGACCCGTTCCTCCCCACCCACGGGGACGGAAGCCCTTGTGAGCCAGCGCCCGGACGGCCTGCCGACAGGCCGCAAGTTCCAGGAGGAGCCTTGCATGCCCAAGGCAGAGGCACTCCGAGGACTTACGGGCACAGCGCTCCCCGGCGGGGGTGCCGCCCACACCCCCAGGAGCTCAGGAAGAACCCCGCCAGGCACCGGCCGCCCCGTGGGCCCGCCTCCCTGCACACTGCGCCACGCCCGCTGGGCCAGTCTCCGCGGGAGGCAGGAGCACAGACGTCCCTACAGCGGTCAGCAGGCTCCTGGCCAGCAGCTCGGAGGTGCGGGGTCACCTCGGAGTGGACAGGGAGCTTGAGTTGCCTCCTCTGTTTTGTCCTGGCATGGAGCTGCTGGCCGGGCCCAGTGGGTGGCGGGACCCAGGGCCAGCCTGCTGAGGAGGAGGCAGGAGTGGCCAGAATGTCCACTGCTGGGGAAGCAGGGGGTCATGAGATAGCAAGCAGGTGGTGCGGGTGGGGTGGGCAGGGGGGGCACTGGGGGGGGGTGCTGGGCAGAGGGTGGGACGCTGAGAAGTGACAGGAAGGGTCTTCCTTCAGAGCCAATGGGCCAAACACATCCAAGTCTACTCCCACGGAGACTCCACGGAAACCACAGAAAAGATGTTTAGATGGCAAACTCCAGATGCCTGCCTTGGGCACCAGGTTTGCCCCTCACCCTGAGGAGACTTCTTCCATTCCCTCTGCACAACCAGACCCCTAACTCTGGACAGACACACCATTTAAGACACCTCCTTTTTCATAAAAGGTGGGACGTACTTTCACCTCCTTCCCCGCTTCCCAAAATAAGCACACGAAAAGGGGACGTGGGCCTGGAGCAGAGGGATGAGGTTAGGCCTGCAGGGCTGCGGCTCAGCTCCGGTCAGCAACAGGGTCGGGAAGACCCTCCTGCACTGAGCTGAACTCTCAAGGTCAGCAGTGGCCCTTGAATAAGGGAAGAGGAGAAACTAATCTCTCTGTAGAAAGCTTTCCTAATCAAAACCAAGCTGTGAGTGCAACACAAAAACCACCAATTAAACAAGAAAACAAGTCATTAAAATGGAAAGTCAGCAGGAAAAAAAAAACCCAAGATCACAGATAATGAAATTGTCAGAAATAAAACACAGAACAGCAACAAAAAATGACCAGTCAACAAGGGATAATTAGAAACAAACAGATAAATCTGGAAAAAAAAAATTGTGTGGAATGACAGTCCTCAGTGGGTTGAACAGCTGAGCTGGGCATAGCTGGAGAAAGAATTAGTGAACTGGAAGATATACCACCCAGAATGCAGCACAAAAACACAAAGAGATGGAAATATCCAAAAAGGGGATATAAATGACAAGTTATAAAATGTTTTAAATCAAACTCTGAAAGATATAATAGGGATAATGGGGAAGAGATGATATTTAGAGAAAAAGTGTGAAAGTTGTAGGACTGGCTGAAATAAAAAGGTATCTTCAGAAACAGAAAGCACAGTATATCTCAAAGATGACAAATGAATGAAAGCAATCCATGTCCAATAGGGATAAAAAGCAAAAAATGAAGGGGTGGGGAAGGCTGTTGCCCTTTTAAATCCCCAGAAGTCGCTTCAGCTGGAGGGGGAGGGTGTTGCAACAATGAGGAAGGTGCAGCAACCATGGCCACCCACCTGTTCGTCTGCTCCTGTTATTAGAAGCAGCAGTGATGCTGTGTAGTGATGCTGTGCAGTGATGCTGCACAGTCCCCAATATCTGCTCAGTTCAGTTCAGTCGCTCAGTTGTGTCTGACTCTTTGCGACCCCATGGACTGCAGCACGCCAGGCCTCCCTGTCCATCAGCAACTCCTGGAGCTTACTCAAACTCATGTCCATCGAGTCAGTGATGCCATCCAACCATCTCATCCTCTGTCGTCCCCTTCTCCTCCTGCCTTCAGTCTTTCCAAGCATCAGGGTCTTCTCTAACAAGTTAGCTCTTCGCATCAGGTGGCCAAAGTATTGGAGCTTCAGCTTCAGCATCAGTTGTTCCAATGAGCATTCAGGATTGATTTCCTTTTGGATAGACTGGTTTGATCTCCTTGCAGTCCAAGGGACTCTCAAGAGTCTTCTCCAACACCACAGTTCAGAAGCATCAAATCTTCGGTGCTCAGCCTTCTTAATGCTCCAACTCTCACATCCATACATGACCACTGGAAAAACCATAGCTTTGACTAGACAGACCTTTGTTGGCAAAGTAACATCTCTGCTTTTTAATATGCTGACTAGGTTGGTCATAGCTTTTCTTCCAAGGAGCAAGCATATTTTAATTTCATGGCAGCAGTCACCATCTGAAGTGATTTTGGAGCCCAAGAAAAGAAAGTCTGTCACTGTTTCCATTGTTTCCCCATCTATTTGCCATGAAGTGATGGGACCAGATGCCATGATCTTGGTTTTCTGAATGCTGAGTTTTAAGCCAGCTTTTTCACTCTCCTCTTTCCCTTTCATCAAGAGGCTCTTCGCTTTCTGCCATAAGGGTGGTGTCATCTGTGTATCTTGGGTTATTGATAATTCTCCTGGCAATCTTGGTTCCAGCCTGTGCTCCATCCAGCCCGGCGTTTTGCTTGATGTGCTCTGCATGTGAGTTATTGAGCAGGGTGACAGTATACAGTCTTGACGTACTCTTTTCCCAGTTTGGAACCAGTCTATCATTCCATATCCGGTTTTAACTGTTACTTCTTGACCTGCATACAGATTTCGCAGGAAGCAGGTCAGGGGGTCTGGTATTCCTATCTCTTGAAGAATTTTCCACAGTTGGTTGTGATCCACACAAAGGCTTTGGCATAGTCAATAAAAAAGAAGTAGATGTTTCCCTGGGACTCTTGCTTTTTTGATGATCCAACAGATGTTGGCAATTTGATTTCTGGTTCCTCTGCCTATTCTAAATCCAGCTTGAACATCTGAAAGTTCTCAGTTCACATACTGTTGAAGCCTAGCTTGGAGAATTTTGAGCATCACTTTGCTAGGGTGTGAGATGCGTGCAATTGTGTGGTAGCTTGAGCGTTCTTTTGCATTGCCTTTCTTTGGGATTGGAATGAAAACTGACCTTTTCTAGTCCTGCAGCCACTGCAGAGTTTTCCAAATTTGCTGGCATATTGAGTGTAGCACTTTCATAGCATCATCTTTTAGCATTTGAAATAGCTCAGCTGGAATTCCATCACTTCCACTAGTTTTGCTTGTAGTGATGCTTCCTAAGGCCCACTTGACTTCATGCTCTAGGACGTCTGGCTCCCATATCTGTACAGGGTCTTCTGTACCCACCCCAGTTCCTGCAAGCTGTGTGTAGGGTGCTCAAGTAGCAGATGCATGGCCCCCCATCTAGTGACTCAGGGTTGAGGGGTGGGTAGCCACTACCCACTGAGAGTTCAGATTGACCAAAATTAACTACACTTTGCCATTCAAGGCTTCCCCTGGAAGCTGCAAGCCTCCAGAAGACTCCAGAGTTCCGACTGTCACATCAGAGGATTCTGCCCCAGCAGTTGTCCAGGTGAGAGACAGATTCTCACCTCCCAAGTGTTTCCTGCTGTGCCATCTTCCCCTGTCTTCCAACTCCTGTGTCTGTTGGGCAGAATAACATTAGTTCCTTCATAGGAAAGCCTGGTGTAAA